CTCTCTGATTATAATCATCATATACGCACTAGTGACGTTCTCCATGGGATATTTCTTGGAGTTCTAATGAAAAGCCGTGACCAGTGGAGTTCAACCGGGGCTGTTATGAGATAGTAACTCACTGAAGACAGTGGTGGATGGTGGTTCGAATTCGTGGATTGGTTAAAGTTAGACATTATTATCGTTGGATGCCGGCAGGCTCAGTGGTCTAGAGGCTAAGTGTTCATGCGTGAAACCGATAGGTCCTGAGTTGGAATCTCACGAGGCAGGATCGTGGATGCGCACTACTGAGTAGTCCAACAATAGAACAAAACGGCCATCCAATTGCCTCCAGGTTTACCATAGTTGTTTAACTTCAATTGACTCATGATATCAACTATTAAAATTACTATAATATTCACAACAACCTCTTCTGATATTAAATACTGTTTTTTTTGTATTTCAAAGTGGAAATCATGATAGTTTGTATGTCTATGAAGATTGACTAAAAATTCTGTATTTCCTAAGTTTCTACGTGTATTGCTATAATAAATAACATTTAATTGACTAGATAAGAGTGAAATCTGTGAACTCAACAACTTTACAGTCATTTACTTACGCCTGTTACTCCTCATGAATCAGCATAGACCGCCCATCACAACTCTCCATCCAACCCTGTCTTGGTCAATTCTTTTCAGTTCTTTCTGGTTGCTGTTCATACTTGTCATATCTGTTTCTAATTCCTGACGCAGTGTGTTATTTGGCCTTTCTCTTTGTTTCCATTCAGGATTCCAATATAGCCCTTGCTTCGTGATACAGTTTGATGATTTCTTCAACGTATGTCTAGTCCACTTCCAATGTCTTTTTCTAATTTCCTTTTCGTCTGGAAGTTGATTTGTTCTATCCAACAGTAGGATGATACTGATGGTATCCGGCTAACGGACTATGGTCATTAGGTATGGTAAATGAATCTCTAAATGTTTACTGATTAGAAGAATATAGTTGTTGTACAAGAGTACTTAGAATTAATAACAATTTTTTTTGTTAATTCGAAATAAGACTAGAGACCGTATTGCTAGCATATTTCATTCGTAAATCAATATATATTTTCATAGTTAAAATCACTAGCTGGTGTAAGCTATACCACCGTTGGACTCGAACCAAGGGTCCTCAGTTTTGCTCGTGAACGGTTCTCTAGCACCCAAGGGCGGTAACGTCTAACTTCAACTAATTCACGATTATTCGCAAGAAGGATTTCAATGGTGGTCAAACTTATGTCTACTCGTGGCGTCTACTATGAAAATGTTACAATCTTCGCGAATACTCTTACTAATAAAAATCATGTAATCAACAGTGACTACATTCAAGATATAACTCCTGGAGTTCTAGTGAGAAGCCGTGGCTAATGGATTCTAATCCGTTTCGGGTGTGGGACAGTTATCCACCTCAAGGAATCGATAAAAGATCGCCACTCAATCTCACCCCAGTTGACATCTGACTGTTTGTATAAAATGATAGACACTTAGACTGTCAATTTACATTTCCCATTTATATACGAGATATAAATATGGAACATTCGTCCTTCAGAAGAAGACTTATAACTCAATTTCACACTACACAAATCAATTGTCGGTCGCCTGTGGATTCAATTGGCAATACGTCGTAGACGAATTTGAAATTTCCCTCAATTGATATTCTTATGAATTACGTGTCAAATAGTATCGTAAAAGTTCGTTAGAAATCTCACAAGCAAAGTTTCAATATGCATTTCAAAATCATGCATAATTTCAGACATTTGAACTCAGAAGCAATACAATTTAATGGCTGACATACTTTATCTGTGCAAACAATTCAACAATTTGAACAGAACTCTCAACGATCAATCACCACGTTATAACTCTCACTCTATCATCACCCGATAACACTCAATGTTTCATGCTCGTTGAACTGGTGGTCAATACTATCTTGTAGTGTTTACTCGTTGTTCTTGTTATTGGTTTTGTCTTTTAGTGTTATGTTCATATCTCCAATTTCGTCTTCATCATTCTCAGGTTCACCGATCATCTTTTCATACAAATGACTTGATCTTATTGATTATGTTTGATTTTCATGGGGTGGTGGCGGTTGTGGTTATTTGAACTCATGAATGATATCTGAAATCAATGAACACTTTATCAATGTGATCACTTTCTATCTCTAATCAGATCCAATATATCTATGAAATGGATCCAATATCAGTGAATGATTTAATTGGAATGAAATGTTATTAAACGAATTGTTTTTATTTGCCGCTTATCAACAACACCGTCAATTGTTCTCATAATTCAGGGTTAGATTATGATAATATTTGATTGTAATCAATGTTTGTAGATAAGCATTAGCTTACAGGTATACTTTTTGTATATGAATTTATAATGAGAGTTAGATGGTGGCTAGTAGTGGAATTCGGTACGCAGGTCTCGTCCTAGTTGGGACTCGTCAGATGGATTTATCTGAATCTCAGAGTTGATGTTTACTCTGGGATTCGAACCCAGTATAATTCATTTCAATCGGCATCGCGTTATCCACTCAACTACTGAGTCCTCACAGCCACACGCTTGTGTAATCGGTTGATGTTGAAATTCACTTGGCATTATTCACTTGAATCTTCCCATTAATGTTTAGGATTGTATTTGATCAGTCTGTTATTAGCATATGTTCATACTGTGTGTATTGCCTTGATATAGCCTTAATTCAGAAGTATTCTAGGCAAAGATGGATAGTGCCTAATACTGGAATCCAGGCAGTGACTTTATTGAGTTTATCAAAACTATTTAACTAGTTAGTGCTGAACTGTAAAATGGGATCAGCATTAAAATTTTACTAAACAAAATAGTATTGACCAACCCTTAAGAGTAGATGATTCCTATTGTGTGATACTTAATGCGTTACTGATTTCAATCGAGTTCTAGGTTAAACCTGTTTCTAACTGGGTACAATAGATTTTCAATATTATTGATTGTTAATATCTCTTCATCACTTAACCATTGTTTTTGTGGATATTCTAGTAATATTTAATAGTTTAGATCATAAGTCAATAGAAACTAGATCACCAGGAAAAACCTGAAAGCACTAACAGCCGTTTCGTCCTATTGCAAAACTCGTCAGCAGTGCACATCCACGATCTCATCTCACAAAATTTGAATCAAAGACTTATCAGTCTCGTGCGAGAACGCTTAACCTCTATATATGTTGATAAAAATATTTACTAACATATGTTCCTCTTATTGCATTTAGATCATAGAATTTCGAATAACTTTCGTTTTTTCCCTTCCAAATATACATCTTACATCCTAGGAATTTAAATGCAAAACTGATTTCGTCAATGATTCGGAGTTTTCATTTTATCTATTTGACCATAAAACGCAAACGTCAATAGTTACATTATTCTTGTAAGTTGACAATTGATAACCTTCTTCTTCTCATCGAATTATCAAGATTACTTTTCAGTCAAAACTATATTTTCTCAATAAGCAAAGATGGATAGCAATGGAATCCAGGACGTGCACTTCATCTTATTTAGGACTCATCAAATGGATGTACGTGCATCTGAGAGTTGATGTTCACTCTGAAACTCGAACCCAGTACCGTTCGTTTCAAAAGTCAACGCGTTATCCAATTAGCTACGGAGTCCTCATAGACACTTTGCTTGTGCAATGGGATGACGTTTCAAATTCACTTGGTGTTGTTTACTTGAATCTTCCTATTAACGTTTAGGATTGCAATTGATCAATCTGTTATTGGCATATGTGCATCGTGTGCCGACTGCCTCGATATTGCTTTAGGTCGTAAGCCTTACCAGGACTTATTAGCTAACCGAAGCAAACGGTACTGAGTTCGAGTCTGAGATTGAACATCAACTCTGAGATGAAGGTACATCCAGCTGATGACGAAGTGTGCGTCCTGGATTCCACCGATCACCACTATACATCTTTGCTTATAAAACATGTAACTTGATGCAATATCAAAGTAGTCCGCACAGGATGCACACATGTCACTATCAGAGAGATTGATCAATTGCAGTCTTAAATAACAATTAGAAGATACAAGTAAAACAACACTTAGTGGATTTATATTTTCTCAAATTGTAAGCTTCACTAAATAATTTTCCAAGTTTTTAACTATGAGAATCATAACGAATCTTCTCCTGATGTGTATGTGTGTGTGTGTGGTGGTGGTGAGAGGGTTAATTTCAATTTGACAAACTAGTCTTTTCATATTGATCTCTTATGAAACATAAATTTGTTACCAACCAATATTCCAACTAAATGTTACATAATCAATATTGTATGTTTTTTTCGATATGATACCCAAATGATCATTTGTAAAAGTAATAAAACAAACATAGCGATAAGTAAACTTGTTTTAATATTGATTTCTAGGTGTTGCTAACTAACTAATCTACATTGATGAATCCAGTAAACGTTAATTGATCTAATAAAATAAGCATTGAAACACAATAATCAATTACAAATATTTATTATTCATATTCATTATTTATCATTTAAAAAATCAATAAGGTAATGGTTGTTATGCACATCATATAGTACTTATTAATTAGGTGAGATATATGAGAATAATTTGGTTGTTAGGTACTTTGAAACTTTTTCACTCAGAGATATGTTTTTTGTACATTTAAGAATATCAGGAATTTTGTTCTTAGATTCTGAATAATTTGATATTCATCGAAATCTAATTGAATGATTATTACCTTGGAAATACATTAAAGTAAGTGTATAAAAATGATAATGGTAGTAGATCTTCAACTTGAATTTATTAATATGTATTGGTGATGATGTCGCATTGCCGAAAGGTGTCAGTTACAAAATTTAATGATCTTAAGTCAATCAATCGACTGTGTGAGCTTCAGGTGATTGTCCATCAATTTCATGAGTAAATAATACTTAGTTCAAATCTATTGAACAGAATCATGGTTATATGTATATTGTTGTAGTCAATATAAGATTTTCTTGAATCAAAGCATGAAATATGAAGACAGTATTCATGTTTTACACATTAAAAAGTATCGTGAATACATTTCAGGGTTTACTACTACTACTACTACTACTACTACTACTACTACTACTACTACTACTACTACTACTACTACTACTACTACTACTACTACTACTACTACTACTACTACTACTACTACTACTACTACTACTACTACTACTACTACTACTACTACTACTACTACTACTACTACTACTACTACTACTACTACTACTACTACTACTACTACTACTACTACTACTACTACTACTACTACTACTACTACTACTACTACTACTACTACTACTACTACTACTACTACTACTACTACTACTACTACTACTACTACTACTACTACTACTACTACTACTACTACTACTACTACTACTACTACTACTACTACTACTACTACTACTACTACTACTACTACTACTACTACTACTACTACTACTACTACTACTACTACTACTACTACTACTACTACTACTACTACTACTACTACTACTACTACTACTACTACTACTACTACTACTACTACTACTACTACTACTACTACTACTACTACTACTACTACTACTACTACTACTACTACTACTACTACTACTACTACTACTACTACTACTACTACTACTACTACTACTACTACTACTACTACTACTACTACTACTACTACTACTACTACTACTACTACTACTACTACTACTACTACTACTACTACATCACTATTCTATATAATCAATATTACTTGAAAACACCTTAGGACATATTACTTTATTAATGTCGCAATTACTCTACAAAATGCAATGAGATGCTATGAAGTAATTTATTCAGAAGTACCTCATCTTCCAATTATTCAACTTCTAGTGTTCATGGACGATTTCTGTTACTGGAATTATATGATACCGAATAGAATAGAAATAATGTATCAGGTAATAATATACTACTGGATGGTAACATTGAAAACATTAATAATCTGAATGTAACAATCATTCAAATTCACTTGGTATTGTTTTACTTGTATCTTTCCATTGTTGTTTATGACTGCAATTGATCAGTCTCATGTTGGCGTTTGAAGCGAACGGTACTGGGTTCAAGTCCCGGAGTGAACATCAACTCTGGGATGCAAGTACACCCAGATGACGAGCCTCAAATAGGACGAAATGCATGCCCTGGATTCTACTACTAGCGACTAACCATCTTTGCTTCGTAACAATCATTCGTTTCGAGAGAGAAATTTTAAAGTAAGATGAATGTACTACATTCAAAATAAACTCACTTTCCATTCATATTGTATCTAGCTAGATAGGATCAATCCATCAATATACCATGAATTTGTTGTTCATATTAAATTGAATAGTAATCTGGTTAAACACGAATTTCTTCATTATAAAAACTTACTGCACAACTGACTATAGTCTATGAAGAGTTCGAAATCTCAATTGAATATTGTATTTAGGCTATGGATAAACTCTACGTTGTCAAGTCATCTGAGCGTGTTGTAGTCAGTAATTAACGTCGTCTTGTCGTTTATTTAGTCAATCAGTTGGAGAAATTAATCAGAAGTATCACTTTCGTTATGTTGTAATTTTTCTTCTATCATAACTGAGTGCACTACACTTAACAAGTTCATAACATGATGGAGTGATATATTCATTGTAGAAACTTTTATATTTTTCAGTGTAAGTCAATACAAAACGCTGAAAATGAAACATGCTCTCCATCATGGAGTACGATAATGTTAATAATAATTCCAGCTTCGTTTTGATTGGCCATCAAGTTCAAGGTCGAAATAGTGGATGGCAGTGGAGTGTATCTTCAGCCGTTATTTGGCATGAAAACATTAGACATGATGTACTAATTAACATAGATTCTCATACTTCTGTCTGATATTCATTAAACATATAAAATGTTATTATCATTGAATGTAATCATGTTAATGAAAGATATAATGACGATTTTTAATTTGAACTTACAAATAATGGTATCGTTAAATGACAATAACAACAACTAAGACGACAACAACCAAACTGAGGTGATGTTTTATCACTTAGTACAATTAAGATTTATGAAATCAATATGTCTACACAAGAATGTTGAATTAGTCAAACTGTGCGATTGTTTATTATCATTCATTTAACAATTGTATAGAGAATGATGAACGAATTGTAATTGGGATAAATAAAGTTTTCATTGTTCGGTTAAAGATAGATCTATAGGATATAGCATATACTAAAATCTCTGTTTCAGTTTATCAGCTTTTATTCCTTCCTCCCTTCAACACATTGTGGAATTATTTTTTTCTGTTTAGTGTTTTTTTTCCATGGGGTGGGGTCTCTAACCCCATGCCAAACCCTTCTTATTTACTGGAGTTTGGGACCGGCAGTAGCCCCAGAAGGGGCTCTTAAGTAGACACATAAGCTATAATACATGAGCAGTGCTAAGTGATCACAGTGGAACATTAATAAAAACTGTGGATTAAAATAAATAAATTTAAAGGGGATCATCTAGATCATGTACATAATTATCACTGATATTTCATAATGAATATGCGGAAATAAAATCAAACTGGAATTTCATTGAATAATATACGTTGAATTACCTCGACCACGCCTTCTAACTGCTCCACGACGATCAACTGACATGTAAGAGATAGAAAAATGAAGAAAAAAGTCATTTGTACTCAATAAAAATTTTGAATGAATAAAATACAACAAATAAAGAATGTCTGCTTGAGATAATATGGAATAGAGTTAATTCATTGTAGACTTCCATTAATGGTTTTCTTTAGTTGAATAACTTAGACTAACGAAAATTTTCCATAAATTATAAATTGGTCTGTAGTGTATAAATGTACGGTAATCTAAGTCACACATTGAGGAAAGCACCCAACTGTGTCACAAGGCAAACACTCACTTGGAACCCTCAAGGCCAAAGGAGAAGAGGAAGACCAAAAAACACATTACATTGAAAAATAGAGAAACACATGAAAAGAATGAACAAATATTGGATAGATCTAGAAATGAAGTTCTACGACAGAGTGAGTTTTAGAATGCTGTTCGACGGCCTATGCTCCACTGAGAGTAACAGGTGTAAGTAAATAAGTAAGTAAGTTATCTAAGTCAATCAACTGATGATCATTACAAATTACCAATAATCGTTAATAAATGTCTTAATGATAATAATAAGGTGGGATGAATCAGTCCCCGTTTGTCTTACTGTTGAAACTTTAGTAACATTAAACATTTGATTGTAGCATATTCATTTACCTGATGTATCTTCTATTACATTAAAATCGTGGGGATCTGGAAAAAAAAGATGGTACAAAAGCTGCACTTTGTATGAGTATATCCATTCATTAATTATGTACTTGAATGGCTAAGGATCATGATAATTGTGATGCAAATAAGAATCACATGGTTATATAAGCATCAGTGTCAAGGTTGAACATGGTAGTTTCAAATAAATTAGACATTGATTCGGAAGTTAATGTTAAATATATATTTTTTTGTTATATCTCAATAAAAGGAGTTTTTGTGGATATTATAGTAATTTAATAGTTAGACAACCATGGAAAACTTAGGAGCACTGGAAGGCTGTTTCATCTTAGTATAGGACTCTTAAAAAGTGAGCGTCCACTATCCCGCCTCACGAGATTCGAACCGAGGACGCGCGTGAACGCCTAACTTCTAGACCACTGAGCCAGCCAGCATCCAATACACGAAACTGAACCACCGTTTACCATTGTGTTCAGTGAGTTACAATCTCAATGAATAGAAAAAATTGTATTTATAACGTTTCACAACTTAATGTAAACCACTTCTGAAGAAGTGGTCAGAAATATAATTTTTCTACTCATTGTGATGTAATAAAAATATATGACTTATTATTAATTACATGATTTGTTTACATAAAAAGAAAAGTATTTTTTTCATAATCATTATTGTATCTAACTCCTCCTGTAGCTCTTCTAGAGTTACTGCCGGTCTCAAGCCCAAATAAAGGAGGAGGGTAAGACATGAGGTTGGCTACTTCATCTTGTAGAAAAAATCTTGCAAAAAGAAGAAAAAAACCAACCAGATTAAACAAATTAAACCATTATTGTATCTATGCTGATTTTATTTACTCATCTAACAGATTAAAGACACTACTGCATTCTAATCATTTTGAATACCTTGATTTCTATGTTCGTTCTCGTTACCTATAGAACAAATAGAAATATTGTAAATAGTTTACTAAAAGCTTATATATCATCTCACATACATACTATTTATATATATGTACTTGTTTATACATGTTAATAGAGTTCAAATGCTTAAAAGTAGAGAGCTTGATTTAAAATGTTTAACTAACCAACCTAATAGATCTTGAAGTATCAATGATGGATTTCAATTGATAGTCATTAGATTCCTTAATCTATGATTATCTATTGAATGTTCACCTTTAATCTACTTAAAGAATCATGTCAACTCATTCAACTATTATGAATTAATGTTTTATAGTTATAAAGTAATTTACTGCAAACACTCAATCGTAACCGATCATAAATTCATCATAGATGTATACTAAATAAACATTAACAAGTACATCAAATTACACAGAGAAATGGATACAGATATGAGAAGAATGGGAAACAATTGGATAGAACTAGAAAAGAGGATCCAGGATAGAGTGGGTTAGAGAATGCTGTTCAGCAGCCTATGCTCCATTGGGAGTAATAGGTTTAAGTAAGTAAATACATTAAATTATCAGAAACGGTTTTTGTGGATATTATAATAATTTTAATAGTTCAGATCATGAATCAATTGAAGCTAGATCACCATGGTAAATCTGAAAGCACTGGATGATCGTTTCTTTCTAGTATTCGACTACTTAGCAATAAGCATCCACAACATTCAAATCCAGGACCTAATGATCCTGAGTTATTAAAATCTCTTAACAAAACCGCCTTCTGATAATAAATATCACATCATATTGTATATAATGAATGTTAAGTTAGTATATTGTCAATGTTATTAATAATATACTACTCACAATTTGTTGTAATGATCGCTAACGACAAGAGAAGAGATATAACGAAATAGAATTTCATGTTATGCAACAGAATAATACAAAGTATAATCAAGAATACATAGGCTTATATACTATTATTTATTATTCTATGTATATCCAAATTTGGATTAATGTTTGTGTCCAAATAGAATCCCCCCCTCCCGTCCACATAATTTACACAGAAATACTTCTCAAAAATGTTACACATTCTTTAATATAAATTTTGTTACCATATTGACAGTTATGAACTTTATTCATTTATCATTTTGTATATATCAAATCTGTTGTCTAGGCATATTTATACAATAAGTTGAATTCAATGTCTACTGAGATGAAAGAAATAACGGAATATATAAAATAAAAGTTTGATCTACAACAACAAAGTTATCCAAATCAGTTAACAATAAGAAAAACTGATTAGTGATAACCTGACAAATATTGAATAGTGTTGCCTGTAACCTCATAACAAGAGTTAATGACTATCTTGTTAGCAAATTAGTATTATGATAAAATATTATTATAATATAACACTGAATTATGAGAACAATTGACAGTGTTGTTGATAAGCGGCAAATAAAAACAATTCGTTTGATAATATTTCATTTCAATTATATCATTCACTGATATTAGATCCATTTCATAGATATATTGGATCTGATTAGAGATAGAAAGTGATCACATTGATAAAGTGTTCATTGAT